AAATTTAAAAATATAGATAAGAACATTATTCATGATGTTTTTAAAAGTAAGAAATAATGAGGCCAGAATTAAAAGAAAAATGGTAACCCAGAAAGATAAATGAGTATTTTTGCTCTCAGAGCTTATTAATCAGTCTTGGAAATTTTGAATTTCACTATCCTGCCTACATAGGGTGGGATATAGGAGAGGGGGTCAGAAGACAAAGTGCAGCCCCCATACAAGGTGGGCCCTCTAATAGAAGACCATCCTTCCCATGAGCTGGGAGCCCAAGGAGCACAAAATCTGTGAACCATGGTTAAACCAATCCTTTTGTGGATTTGCAGCTTGAGTTTGCATCACTCTGCTTTTGAACTCGGTTAATGGTACTCCTAGACCAGGAAGAAACCCGGGTGCTTTGCAGAAGCCATCTTCTGTAAAGGAAAGTGTCTTCTGTCTAGGCTTCAAATTATAACAGAACATAATACTTTCAGTACTAGGACAAGCATATAGTTAGCGATGACCAGGTGTATAGGCAACAGGGCACCATGAACAAGAACCAACATGCTGTGGGTTGAATCCGGCCTCCTCGAATCAACATGCTGAAGTGCCCAGTATGTAACCTTATTAGGTATTTAGTTAAGATGTGATCATCCTGAAACAGGGTGGGTTCCTAATTCAGTATGAATAATGTCCAAATAAAAAGGGGAAATTTGAACACAGACATGTACATGGTGAGAGTGTAATGTGCACATGAAGGCAAAGATTGGGGTGATGCATCTACAAGCTAACGAACACCAAAGATCGCCAGCATACTACTAGAAATTAATTAACAGAAGTGGTGCAGATGTGCCATCACAGCCCTCAGAAGGGTCCAAACATGCCAGTACCACCTTGATTTTGGCTTTTCAGCTCCAGAACCATGAGACAATTTGTTTCTGTTAAGTCACCCAGTTTGTGGTACTTTGTACAGCTACCTTAGCAAACTAATACATAGCAGGAACAAGAAAACTCATATGATAAAAGCATCAGATGTCAGAATTTTCAAATGCATACTATAAAATATGATGTGTATGGTTTGAAAATATCTGGAAGTTCTAAGAAACCATAAAAACTAACATGGCACCCAGCCAGTGCAATAAGGCAAGAAAAATAAATTAAAGGCATTGAGATAGAAAGAAGAGATAAAACTGTATTTGCAGATGACCTGATTATCTAAAATATACAAAGTATCCAGAACTGTTAAGTTTAGCATATTCATAAAATATTAAATCATAATATAAAAAATCGGTTATATTTCTATATACTAGCAATGAACATTTGAAAAATTGAAATCTTGAAAAGTAC